CTCAGCGGCTGCTCTGCGCCAAGCACTGTGCTAGTCTGGGATTCAAAGGTTCAAAGAGCAGGGGACATTCTTGCAAGGGACTTCAACAGGCTTATCCAGGGCCAGTGGCATTCTGCATCTGAGGTGGGACCAGAGACTGGCCGGGCCTCGGCTGTTCCCTGGGACGCACCGCTCAAGGGTGTGCCCAGAAAGGGAAGGGAAGGAATGCACTTTGCAGGTGGTACTAACAGGACTTGGTGACTTACTGGACGAAAGAGGAGGGAGGGAGAGAAAGCAATGGTAGCTCCCAGTGTCCTGGCTGGCGCCTGGGTGAGGACACGTATTCCCGGTGGGGCCCTGTAGGGTTATGCAGGTCTAGGAATCGGGAGAAACGTCTAGATAAAGAAATGTGTTAGTGCAAAGAAGGACATGGCACCAAAAAGGGCTTTGAAGGCTAGATAGAAATTTCAGGGAATTAGGGGTGCACACACAGGAAAGGAAAATAGCCCAAGAAAAGACATGGAGGTGGTGGAAAGCAGCCTGGAACTTCAGAAAAGCTACTGATGCCATTGAGCTCACACACTGGTTGCATCAGGATAGTTGGGAGAGAGGTATCACAACTAGGGAGCCACATGAGGCCAGATTACTGAACGCTGGGGTGAGGAGTTGGCACATAATTCAGCAGGCAATGGGGAGCCATGGAAGGTTTCTAAGCAGAAGAGCAACAGGATAACGGCTACGTTTTAGGTGAATCTAACCTAACAGTATAGGATGGATGAGAACAGAGACCAGAAGGAAGGACTACAGGAGGTAGGGATCATCACTATTTACTCATCCCACAGACAGTGGTCCTCCTCTCTGCAGAAGCAACCCTTTTCCTCAATCTAATCTGTAGTCCCTAATCGGCGAAGGGTTTAGACACCAAACCACCTGCGTGAATGTTGCACCTAAAGAACGAGCAAATGGGCTCTCCTAAACATATCCACACGGGCAGGTCTTATTTCAGCTCCGTGGTGTTGCGCGGACGGATGTTGCGTTTGTTACAAACTGCAGGTGAGACCCTCCACCAGCAAAAAGATTATGACTCCATTTACTGTGATGCACACTCATTGCGGTGTCCTGGCCCCGAACCTGCAGTATCGCTGAGGTGTGCCTGTATTATCAACAAATATGAATGAGTTTAAGTCACCTATTAAAAGGAGTTTCATATATACAGACAGTAGAACATTATTTGGCATTAAACGGGAAGGAAATCCTGACACCTGCTACGACATGGATGAACCTTGAGGACATGATGCCGAGTGAAATAAGCCAGTCACATCAGGACAAATACTGCCTGATTCCACTGATATGAGGTCCCTAGTAGTCAAATCCATGGCGAGGGGGGAAAGCAGAATGGTGGTCACCAGGGGCAGAGGAGAGAGAGGAACAGGAAGCCCTTAATGGGTGTAGTTACTGCCCAGCTGGTGTGGCTCAGTGGTTGAGCATTGACCCATGCACCAGGAGGTCACCGGTTTGATTCCTGGTCAGGGCACATGCCCAGGTTGTGGGCCCGATCCCCAGAGGGGGGCACGTGGGAGGCGGCCAGTTGATGTTCTCTCTCATTGATGTTTCTCTCCCTCTCCCTTCCTCGCGCTCTAAATTCAATAAAGAAAAAAAAATTTTTTTTTTAAACTTGCTATCTTAAAAAAAAAAGGGGGAGTTTCAGAATGGTCCATAGAACAAAACCCAACTCTGAAAAAGAAACACCTACAATGCAGTGATTCGAAAAGGCTGAAAACAAAGGAGCGGGAAGGACACGCCAGGCAGATGTAAACACGAAGAAAGCAGGAGCTGTGAGCTTGATGTATGAGGAGACAGAAGTCACACTCCACGCACTGACTGCGACGAGGAAGACGGAGTCAGGCTGTCTACACATCACACAACAGCGGCACTGTCACAGAGCAGACACGGCAGGGAATGCAGGAAGAAATGACAAGGCGGGTAACCGGAGACTGAAAAACACTGCTTTCGGTCCGAGATTCATCAGAGAGTCAAAAACCAAGTAACACAGAAAACCTAACATCATCATCTATAAACCACATGTCCTGTGTCAAAAACCAAGTAATACAGAAAACCTAACATCATCATCTATAAACCACATGCCCTGTGTAAAAAAGGAAATCCATACCCCAGAGAATATCCCTTTTCACGCACATCATGACATTGACCATTATTAGGGCAAAAAGAAACTGCAAACCTTTGCTCAGTGGTGTCGATGGGATAAAGGAGGTGGAAGCACTTTGAAAACTAAAAAGCACCAAGCCAGTATTAGTGATCGATACTGTCAATACTCACCATCATTACCATTACTCACTGCTGGGTGGTCCTTCTGCCCACTCTCTCGTTCTCTGCCATGCTCTAGAGTCTGCCAACCAGGTGAGGTATAAACATGTAATCTTTACTTCTCCACAAGAACTACCATTTCCTTGGTGTTTACAATGTGCTCAGCTACTCACTGCTTTGCATGAAGTCCTTTATTAGAAATAACTTTCTAATTGCTTTATGAAAACAAGTGTTCTGTTTCTCTCCATCATCTTTGGAGCCCAGAACAATGCTAGGTGAATTTCCAGTAAGTACGCAGCAGAGACTTACGAACCAGAGCCCTGATTAAGGATCCACGTCAGTCAGATAAGAGTTTCAAACTTCACTCTTACAACTGTGTGATGTTGGGCAAGTTAATACCTTTTATGAACCTCAGTTTTCTCACAGGAAAGCACGGACAGGAGTAATACCTACACCAACTAGGATTGTTTGGAAGTCTGAATGTAGAAACAAGTGTCCAGCATGGTACCTGGTCCACAGTAGGCATTGAATAAATACTAGTCTGAGGATGAGGAAAAGGTTACCAAACAGATAAACTTAGAACAGGGGTTCTACTTTTTTATTAAACAACAAAAAACTTTAAATAGAAACATCCTCTATGCATTTGAAATAATTTTTTTTTAACTCTCATAGAGGTAATAGGGAAATAAGTTATGGTGCATCCACACCATGGAATACTATACTGCAATGAAAAAGAATGTATTGTGCCTACATGTTCACACATGGATAGATGGCCATGTTGTTTGGTAAGCAAAGCAAGCTTCAGAATAGGAACAGCACAGCTCTCCTCCCCACCTTTAAAAAAGTATATATTCACAGAGAAATGTCTAGAAAGATATACCTCTAATTTTTCGAGGGGAGTAGGATTGGGGACCTCTGAGGAGTTTCTTCTCACTTTAAACATTCCCATTTCTTGTCATTTTGCACACACACACACACACACACACACACGTGTGTGTGTGCATGCGAGGAAAAAAGAAGAAAATAACCACCCAGAAAAACAGTTCTTGAATTCTCTTTGGCCGGCATTCTCCATGCGACTTTGGGAAAGCAGTGGGACTGAACAGAGATGGTTAATTCTTCTGGCAAATGTGAGAATGTCCACACTCAGCGTCTTGTTTTGAAAGAGAGAGACACTGAAGGAGGGAGAGAGGGAGAACGAGTCGCCCCAGCATTACTTAGTGCTCAGCACATCCAAACAGGTAGTCTTATTCTCGTCCCTGCCACCACCGAAGCCCTGACAGTTGGAGTAACAGAGAAAGTCTCTGATAAATGTCAACTGAAATAGAGCAATCAGCTGAAAGCCATTTGCTGAGCTGTCTGACGGCCCTGGGCCTGAGGTTTTCCTTTATTCATTTATCATGATATACGGCTTTGGCCAACATACACACAGGAGAGAAATTGTTGACATGTGGAACCCAAGTACAGAAAATCTTTCAATTTTCCCCCCGTCTGTTCACCAAATAAGTTTTTGTTTATTTAAAGACTACAGAGGATTTGGCTGTTAAGAACCAAATGCCTTTGGAGTGGAGTTACAACATAATTTATCATTTCCTCTGTTTATTAAAAAATCCTGCATCTTTGAGAAGCACATTTGCCGTGAGTGGGGGATTTTGGCCACTCACGAAAGACTGTTGCAGAGCCCTGGCTACGCGGCTTACCCCCCAAAGGGCTCCTCGGCTGCTCTGACTCGTCTTCCTTCAGCGGCCTCCTAGCGGCGTGGTGGCTACCTGGGGCTGGTGAGCAGGGTCTGACAGAGGACAGGTAAGCAGGGCAGGACATGTGCCAGCTTCTTTCACCTTCGCCCTGACCCTGACTTGAGTCTCCACTGGCTGCCGTGCAGCCTGCTCCACCAGGGCAGGCAGAGGGCGAAGGGCAGCCCCACTGCCCCAGCGAGGAGCAGAGCGCCGAGGACAGACAGTGGAGAAGCCGATGCTGCTGCAAGGGAGCGTGCTGAGCCCTGCTGCTCCCTTCCAAAGGCAGACATTTGGCAGAACTGGAATGAACTTCCTACCTCCCACCCATGACATTACAAACAGCAAGTCAGCCCAGTGCACCATGCACCCTCAAAGACGGAGGTCACACCTCACCCATTTTTGTATTCCCAGCATGTGGCACTGAACCCGACACACAGCTGGTGCCCACTGGGTGCTATGAGGCAGCAGGACGCAGAGCACGTGCCTCAGATCAGGCCTCGACCGGGATCCTGGCTCTGCCACCTGCTGGCTGCTTAACCCCGGCGGGAGACCGCACCTCTCTCTCTGTACGATGAGACTGATGAGGAGTAACGAAACCCTCTTGCCAGCTTTGCTACCTAGTGCCTGCAGGTTCCAGGCGTAAGTCCAGTTCTGAGGATACCCTAGATATGCAGCCTAGGCATCAAAGAGCCGGCTAAGGTCAGAGGAGGACAACAGCGCTACGGGAGCAGCACAGGGGCCTCAGCTGCGGGGAAGGAAGCCTTCCGAGGAAGCTAGCCCAGCTGACCGTGAAGGAGAACAGGACTGGCCACGTGAGGAGCGGAGGATGGTCCAGGCTGAGAAAGAGCACGTGTGAAGATGACTCAGAAGGACAAGGACTGTTCCGGTGCTCTACACACAGGTCCTTAGAAATCATTAATCCACACTGACGCTATCATTTCCTTTGTGGTTACTACTCTTTCCAATTCATTTTGATTTTATTGTTTGGTGAAAATGGGTCTCTAGTAAAGGTATCCAGTCACACGTGAAGGCCCAGATCAGCCCAAACAAAGTTTAATGTTGGGGACAGGGCCCGACTAATTGTTTGAAAAGGAGGCTTCTGAGACGGGGAGCAGTCAGTGGGAGGCCTGCTGGGGGTCCTAGTCGTTTGGCAGTATCCCAGTCAAGGCTGCCTGTCAGCAACATTCTCCAAAGGCCCACCCTGGCCAAAAGGTCCAGAGCAGAACGGGGTGGACAGGGGACAGGAAAGGAGAATGAACAAGTCTGGGTGTCCCACTGGAAGACTGGCCCTCACACAGTGACAGCCTTCCACGTGGACAGGGTAGAGAGATGCCAATCTGCCACCAGGGATCCACTAGACACGGGCCCCGTGGACTTTCATCCGAGGAGTTCTTTGGTCTTTACTGCCAGATGCCTGTCCAGCTCTGCAACTGTGTCGTCGGCCATTTGGCTGATCTGCAGAAACACAAAATGAGACAGCCTGGTAACTAGGGCTGGAAAAGGGCGGGGAGAAATGTTCCAGAGCTATGAAGAGGTTATCTGGGAGACACTGATGCTCACGTAGCTCCCATTCACCGAGTCCCAGCAGGCTCTGCACTATAACCTTAGGTACATGCTTACTGATGCCTACGGCTTCCCCATGAGCTATACTATTGTCATCCCCGTTTCACAGACGAGGGAACTGAGGCAGTTAGATCACCTGCTCAGGATACACAACTAGAAAGTATCAATGACAAAAGTTAATCCTGGGTAGTCTGATGCCACAGCTCCAAAAATCTTAACTATTATTATAGAGTACAGCCTTGTTTGTCTCTTACTGAAATTCTAGAATTTCCTGCATTCAGACATTCTGCTATATAAAGCCCTCATACTAACTGATAAGAAGAAATATTAAGATCCCAATAGTTGAGCAGAAAAAGAGTCCTGAAAAAGATGAAGTACATCTGGTTAACAAACATGGAAAATTCAGTAAACACTGAAGAAATGGAAATTCAAACGAGACATAATTCAGTCATCATAGTTAACAAAATTTGATGTTGTGGTTTTTAATTACAATCTTCAGTGCCAGGAGGCTATGGTGAAATGGATAAGGTCACATATCATCAATAGGGATTCAAATGGATGCAAATGTTCATACCATTTTTTAACCCCAAATTCTCTCAAGGGGAAATTATCACAAGAGTGGAATCTGAATAAAAATTTAAGTTCTATATACAAAGATATTTATCTAAGCTTTATTTTTAATAATAAAAAAATCAGAAAATCAAAAGTGAAAGAACAGGTAAGTTGCTGAATACATATAGACATTAAAGGGTTAAGATGACTCATTTCTTATAGAGAGGGTAAAACTATGAAGATTCCAGTATATGTTTCTGAAACATTTGAATGTTTGATTATTTTTTAACAAGTGCGGATTGCTTTTGTAATCATGAAAAACGAATGCTTTAAGATATTATTTATAATATCATGGAAACATGCTTATGTTACCCCTGAATTAAAGAAAAAGCAGGATACAAAATTGTGTATAACAAAATTGAGAAACAATCTCAAATGTTAGAAATTGTGCATATTTTTTAAAACTGGGAGGAAACCTGTCAAAATATTGATTATCTTCTGGTGATGGGAAGATAGCTAATATATTATTCATACAGCCCTGTCACATTTGCCAAAAGATGTACTATACAGCAAATGCTCAGGAAGTAGTTATTAAAGGAATGATCATTAGCGTTTTCTGTACTTTCTGCAGTAAACGCATTCTCCCTCTGAGAATAAAAACCCAGTACGACTGGTAGGTGCTGCAGCCTCCCTCCCATGTCTAAAAGGGACCTAGGACGGGACGCCTCAGGCTGGACGCTCTGAAGGAGCAGCACGGTGCTCAGGATCTGTGTTCAGCAGCACAGCGGCTGTTCAACATCTTTATTTGCAGACCACAGGCCTTGGCCAGGAATTGCAAAATAAATGCACTGGAAAGGGTAGAAACTGAAAAGGATTTGGAGCAACTGGCCCCCGGCATGGAGACAGCCAGGCTCTCGCCATAGCAACAGCTGCACAGTTTTTAGCTGGAAAAGCAAAACTCCTGGGGCTGCTAGGCACTCTGCAAGAGTGACTGGGCTCAGAATGGTTGATTGGTCCCCCTCACTCAGGCACCGCAAACCCTAGAGAGGCTTCTTTTGCCCCCACCTGAGCAGCCTGCCTTGCATGGGGCATGGCGTGGTGCCTGGCCGCACTCCAGCACGTGCAGGCTGGCAGCCTGGGAGAGCCGGGAACAGGGCTGCAAGCCTCCTTGGGAAAACTGGCATGTGGGGACAGACAGGGTCTGGGGGTTGGAAGAGTACCTAGGGTAACAATTTGATAATGGAAGTTCTGGGTTAAATTCTCTGTGCAGTGACAATGTACAGGTCCTTTCCCAGTTTGAGCCTCAGTTTCCTCATCCATAAAATGGGAATGCTGGTCCCTTCCTCAGAGAGTAGTTGGGAGGGTTAAGCAAAGTCATGAATATGCAAGTGTGTTTCAAATTGGTTATTAGCTATGCAAACGCTGCTTGTGTAATTCTAATTTTTACTATCACTTCCTGACATCTTTTCAAATTAATTAATTAATGAAAATATTTACTAACTTTGTATATTACAGGCACAAAGTACCCTTGGGGACAGTCTGCCTTCAAGTTCATCTTTTCCATTTCTATCAGACTTCTTAAAATAATGACGATTAACAACATTGACGAGGGTACCAACACCACCTCCCACTCACTACATGCTAGACACTGGGCTAAAAACTTTACACACATTATTTCACAGAATCCTCAAAACATATGAAATACCATAATCATCTCTCTTTAATATATTACAAATCTTAATTATGTCACCTGACAGTTGCATAGTAGTTCATACTATGCAAAAGTGTTTTGTCCTATTACTTCATTCAAATCCAACAACCTCACATAACCTCTCTAAGGCAGGTGGCACAGGTATTACCCTATTTTACAGAGGACTAAACTAAGGCTTAAAATGTTCTCCTGCTCAGAATCATGTAAAAAGTCAGTGGTGCGACTAAGCCCAGGACTCAGGTACCCGGCTGCCAGTGGTGCCCTCCTCCCTTTGGGGAGACCCCCGCACCTGGCCCAGTCCTGCCTCCCTCCAGGCAGGCTGTGTTGGGCTCATTCAAACAGTCCATCCCTGCCCCATACTTAAAGTCACAAGGTGAGGGGAGAGAAGTGGGACAGGTGATGGGCAAAGAATTACTGAGGACCAGCACCATCCCAGCCACTCTTACGTAGGCTGTGGGGTCCGGTCCTCTTACCAACCCTGTGAGACAGCATTACTGCGCCCACTTACAGTGAGGAACCAGGGGCTCAGAAAGGTGAGGCCATTTGCTGACCTTAAGAGCTGACAAGTGAAAGAGCCATTCTGACCTCGAAGTAAGAGCCCTTCCCATTACAACAGCTGCCTCCTGAAGATGATGCCACCAGCAGCATCCGCATCACATCTGTTCCTGAGGAGGCTGGGAGAAGGAAAGGTAGAGAGGCAGAGGGGAGGCAGGCCTGGCCCCGCTGGGTGCTGCTCCCACCGCCACACGCAGTCCAGCTGCCCGTCTGCTAGGAGCCTCTCCTTCCTCCAGCTCCGCCAGCGCCCAGCGTCACTCACTTCAGAGCAGTTCGGTTTCTCGGAGCAGTGAAAGGATCTTGGCCAGATTTACTGGTGGTTTCTGCCAAGTGCTTTAATGTTCAGCAGGCTCAGCTATAGGAAACTAAAGCGAAGGTGAAACAGCAGGCTGACAGATGTCAGGGCCCGAGGGGGACGACCCTGGGCCTTCTGCAGCAGAGCTGGCCTGAGCTGGGGGCTGGGCAATTGTGGGGGGTCAGGCAGGACTGTAGGGACAGAACCTACAACAGAATCATTTCCTTCTTATACACCCAAGATGAAACATTTTTATAATACAATTTTGAAAAATCTGACCTCAAAAGACATTTGAAAATTTTTTTTAATTAAGAAATTCTCCCAAAGAATTGAATTAAAATTATTCATGATCCCATTACCTGAAATAACCACCACCAACATTTAAGTGGATAAACTGCCAGCCTTTTTCTGTACATGAAATCATAAAACAATGAAATCATTATTAGAATACAATTATGTAATCTACCTTTAAAAAAATAAATCCAGAAAAGTACCACGCCCATACACTATTTTTGTAATTGTCGCTATACATAGATTCTAGTAAACAAATGTAAAATGACAGATTTTCCCACTGTTAGAAATGTAGACAGTTTCAGTTTTCTACCGTTACACATAATCAACAGACGCTGCTACAGATAAGACGTTTAACGGTTGATTTTGGATAAATTCCTCAGTCGCTGCAGCGGAAATGTATGGATTTGGGTATACACTTCCGGATCATGCTCTAGACAAACTATGGATTTATACAAAGAGCACCTCGCTCCTTCGAGTGGAGTGTGGGAGTAAAGGCAGCATCCTAACACAGGCGGCATTCGAAGCTCGCACCAAAAATTCCAGGTTCAAGTGTTCGGGATTAGAAAAGGCAAAAAGAATTTTAAGGACACATATTCTAAAAACCCATGAGTGACTTAGACAGCACGTACCAAAATCCTTAAAACATGCGTTCCTTGTGCTGTGATTCCATGCGGGGACTGTCTCCTAGGGAAATCATCTCAACAAAGATGTGTGCGCAAAAATATTCACTGCAACCTTATTTATAATAACAAGAAAGTTTAAACAAACTGAATGTCCAACCAGAGGCTTACGAAAGTGAGTTATGGTATGACCACAGACGGGCTATTTTGTAACCATTACAAACGTCTGCTTACAGAGTTTTTGAAGACACAAGAAAATGCTAATGGTTTTAGTGCTGAACAGAAAAGAAAAAGCTGGAAGGAAACTGTATGTACAGTACATGTTCTCAATCATGTTTAAAACTATGGAGTTTTAAAAAGCGGGGGAAGGCCCTGGCCAGTCTGGCTCAGCGGTTAGAGCGTTGGCCTGCGGTCCAGAGAGACCCGGGTTCGGTTCCCGCTAAGGGCACGTACCTCGGTTGCAGTTTGTCCCCGGCCCTGGTTGGGTCATGCGGGTGGCAGCCACTCGATGTGTCCCTTTCACGTCGATGTTTCTCCCTCTCTCTCTCTCCCCTCCCACTCTATGTGAACAAAAAATGGAAAAATGTCCTCGGGTGAGGATAAAAAAAAAGGGGGCGGGGAAGAAAAATTCCAAAATGTTAAGAGCAGTTGCTCCTGCCATGTGGGATTATGGGGTGAATTTCTTCCCATTTTTAAAAACAGTCTTCTAAACCCTCTATATTTTCTATAGTGAGCATATAGTGCTTTGATAATTATGAACAAAGTAAGCAAATACATATTTTAAAACTGCCTGATAAGGCAACAATCGGCCCGTTTAATCAAAACACCCTCCCCAGCCTCCAGATCTGCGTCTTCTGCCAGAAAGAACAAATGAAGCGTGTACAAGGCTGTCCCTGAATATGTTTAGTCGAACTTTGGACCACATGACAGTAAAAAGTTATTATCAATAATGTTAAGAGCTAATATTTAAATGATAACATCTTAAATAACAAAGATTGTTGTAAAATGTAAATAGCATATTTTCCCTGGTAATAGTACATATATGCTTACAGAGATGACTTGAATGTTAATAATGGTCATCTCTGGGTGATGAAAATTCAGTTACTTTCTCCTTAATTTTTTTTGGTGGGGTACATGCCCCTAGCGGGAACCAAACCCAGGACTCTCTGGTCCGCAGGCCGATGCTCCAACCGCAGAGCCAAACTGGCCAGGGCTACTTTCTTCTTAATTTTTAAAAAATTTACACTAAACATGGATTGGTTCAGTATCACAAAAACAAATGAAGTTACTTTCACTTTGAAAAGTAAGTAACAGTGACAAGCCCTGAGTAAGAAAATCTAACCCGGAGAGGAAGGAGAAAAGCCAGTGCTAAGGAGCGGAGGCCTCCAGCAAAGTCTGTCACATGGGTTTCATCACGACAGCCGCTATCGGATCAGTCTTCCTTCTTTAAGGAGCATGGGCTCTGGTCCCTGAGGCAGGTGCCCAGAGTTGCTGAGGGAGGAGTGCCTGAGGTCTCAGAGGTCCACAGCTGACCACTAGGAAGCAACCAAGCCCCCAAGTGTCGGCTGCAGAGATGAAACCCCCGGGGAGAGGGACAAGGAGCTGGCTCAGCTGGGGCCGGGCCCAGATGCTCCCGAGGCCTCATCAGGGCTGAGAGGCCAGCCCAGCCTCTGAACCTCTACCCGCTGACGCAGGGACGGAAGACAGCACAAAGACGGCAAGAAGGGAGTTTTCCAGGTCTAGGTGTCAGCTGATGGTGCTTCAGGCAGAAATTACAAACCCCGTTTTATAGAAGAAGGAGTCGAGTAACTTCCCCAAGGTCACAGGACATCAACTGCAGAACAATCTCTTTCTAACTCTGGTGTCATTCCCCACCTTCCATATTCGCTTTTGCAGAATTGTCTAGAGAATTTTTTTTAAAATACGCATTCCTGGGCAGACCTACTGAATCAGGAAACGCATCTGAAAGTCTCCCCCTGGGTGACTGTCTGGCCTGGTCTCTGACTAGCATTCTACCTGCTGGTCCAGGAGAAGAGGAGCAATTAGTCAACTGATGGCCTCCCCCAGATGGCCTTGCCTTCCAATTCTTCCCTCTGCGCCACATCCTGCCCGCACACCCGTTCTTAACCAAGATAATGCTTTTGTTGTGGACAAGGTGGCTTCGGTGAGCCCTTTACAGTTCTGTCTCCTAAGTACTGGTAAACTCATCTCCCTATTTAATTCTACTCGTACCACTCAGCTTCAGGCCACCGTCATTTCCTGGCTGGATTTCGGCACCAGCCTCCCTGCCTCCAGCCGGGCCCCTGCAATCTGTTTTCTAACCAGCACCCACAGCATCTCTCACAAACACAGATGTGATCTCCCTATCGCCTGAAAAAATATGTCTAAGGGGTTACTCTAAAAATGCAGAGCCCTAGACCCCACTTCACACTCACTGACTCAGTCTCTGGGAGTGAGGTCCCACATACTTGTACTTTTATAAGCTCCTCGAGTGGTTATGACGCTGTGGTAGATTAGATTATTGTTTAAAAAATATTCACTCCCTCCTCCAGACTTCCATGAACCAAAATACTTCCCTGCCCCAGTGGAATGGGCTTGGACTGTGGGATTTCCTTGGCCAACAGGGTGTGACAGGAACAGGTGCTTAACACATACTGGAGTGGCTGGGGCTCTGCCCTCAGTGTCTACAGTTGCCATGCAAAGACCCCTGGGAGGCTTCCTGACTCCAGAAGGTTGAGAGATATGGACTTAAAACCAATCAGAGATATGGAGCCACGCCCACACAGAAGAGCTACATCCCCCATGACCTACAGATATGGGAAGAAGAAACAATGCTTGACACTGGAAATCACTTGAGTTTTGGGATAATTTGTTATGCAGCATTACTGAGGCCATAGATGATTGATAAAGATGCACAGCCAGCATGGGAGTCATTGGGCATGTTCATGTCCAAACACCTCAGCCTGGTACACAAAACCTTCCATGAAATGGCTGGCTACTGTCTTGTCTGTCCATCCCCTGGTCCCAGCCTAGGTCCATCATTATCTAACTGAACAATGTTCTCTGACATCACCGCACCTCCACACGTGCTGTTCCAGCTTCCCCCCTCGCCCCTCAACATCTCACTATTTCGCCTCAGTAGCTCCTTTAAGACATGTATCAGCACCACTACTCGGCACACTAAGGATTGTTAAGTTCTCACTTCTCAGCACCCAGACAGCCAACCACAGATGGGAGAGCGGTAGTATATAGGCTCTGAAATCAGTCTGCCTATAATTTTTTTTTGTTAATCCTCACCTGAGGATATTTTTCCCCATTGACTTTTTTTTAGATAAAGTGGAAGGGCGGGAGGGAGGAAGAGAGAGAGGGAGAGACAGACAGACAGACATCAATGTGAGAGAGAGACATCAATTGGTTGCCTCCTGCACAACCCCAACCTGGACTGAGGATTGAACCTGCAACCCAGGCATGTGCCCTTGACTGGAAATCAAAGCAGCAACGCTTTAGTGTGCTGGCCGATGCTCTAACCACTGAGCAAAACCAGCCAGGGCACAGTCTGCCTGCCTTTAGATCCCATTTCTACCATTCATCAGCAGTGTGACCCTGGGCAAGTTACTCAGCTTCTTTGAACCTGTTTCCTCACTCCCTACGCCTCACAGCTTTGTAGTGACAGGGATAAATGGAGCGATGTACAGTGTTCAGCAGAGCCTGGCACAAAGTAAAAGGCCAATGGATCTCCTCCTCCTCCCTGTTCCCAGGGTCCAGCATAGGGCAAGGCCCAGGACAGAGACGCAGTCAACAAAAATCACATCAGTGAGCCCGGCCAGTGTGGCTCAGTGGTTGGGCATCGACCCATGCACTAAGAGGTCACCGGTTCGATTCCTGGTCAGAGCACATGCCCAAGTTGTGGGCCAGATCCCCAGTGGGGGACATGCAGGAGGCGGCCAATCAATGTTCTTTCATTGATGTTTCCATCTCTCCCTTCCTCTGTCTCTCTAGTATATCAATAGGCAAAAAATAAATGAATAAACAAACAAACAAATCACATCAGTGAAAGACCAGGGGTACTGTCTCTTCATTTTCCTCACTTCAGACATGAACAAGTGATTTCCTGGGTCAGATGCATAAATATTACATCTTCTAGGAATAGTACCTGTTTTTCTATGAGCCGAATGGTGTCCTCTGAGGCCTTGTCCTTTGATTTCTTCAGCTTGCTCATTGCGTTGGAACGAACCTTCCGTAAAGAGTCTTTGGCCTTGTTGGTGCTCTGTTTGGCCAGTTTCACCAGCATTTCCCTGTGCTCCCTGGTTACTCTGACAAAAGACAAAAGAAGGTTCAATAAAGTCATCCTGGACATTAACTGCAAGGCAAGACCTCGACATCAGGCTGTCCGTTAGCTCAGCAGTTCGTAACCTTCCTCTCTGGCGGTGGACGAGCCTCACATTCCTGACACAGCTCATGGGGATGCTCAGGGTCAAGGAAGGTCCCACTGAGTTAGCTGAGGTGAGCCGGGGCGCCCAGGCGGACCCAGGGGAATCCTAGCCGTGACTGCCTCCCTCCCTCTCCTCAGAGCCCCTGGCTTTCCACTGGCGGCTGTGGGCACCTGTCTCAGGCGGTGGTGTGCAGATCAGAAGATGCCGTATGGACAGTGTTAAGCGCTGCCCCTGGCACATGTTAAGTGCTCAGTAAAAGGAAGTAACAATGAGCTCCATCCCCTTCTCTCCCACTAAAGAAAGTGATGCAAATGAGTGATGATCCTATAGAGACAGCATCATCTCTATACATCTCTAAGTCGCCCAAAACAAGTAGCAACTTCAGAATCTTAACTATTATTATTATAGCAGATGACTTGGGAATTACCTCAGAACTGACTGAGATATGACACGAGTCCCAACATAACATGTGAGAACCAGTGCACCAGTTAACTTTCATAAGGACCCATGACAGCGCCTGGCACATTATACATGCTTAACGAACGTCAGTTATTTTTACTGTTAACATCCTCATCATCGCCACAAGGAGCACCTGGAGGGCCTACTATGCACCACGAGCGCAGGCACTTGACACACAATAACAGTATGAGGCAGTTACCATTCCTGTTTTACATGTTTTACATGTCACAACCACCCAGCAGAGGAGGCCAGCATGTCTTCACGTCTTCCTCACGTACACACTGAGGGCCCACCTACCAAAGCCAGTGTTGTCACTGAGGGCAACGCGATGAACATGGCAGACCTCTGTCCTGCGCTGAGGAGCTGAGCGAGGGAGAGAGCCCAGCAGAGAGAAACTGACAACAGGGTGAGAAGTGCTGTGGGCAGGGATGTGGAGAAGCACCAGGTGTCACAGCACAGAAGCAGCTCAGCTAGCTCACGGGTTTCTGTCCGAATCTGGGCGGTAAGGGGAGACTCTGCTACAGAAATAGCATCTGCATGTGGTGGCCGTTAGGTTTGTTCACCAGTATTCTGGCCCTTACTCCTTCCAGTAGGAATGCATCTCCCCATCCCCTCAGTGTGGCTGTAGGACATGCTTTGGCCACCTGTGAGGGAAATTATGGGCGCCACCTCAGGGCAGAAGCGTTAAGAGCCAGGGCATGTCCACCACGTTAGGTTCTACTGGCCACATATACATGGGTGTGGAACATCCATCAGCCTGGGTGCCAGAGTGACTATGATGAACAGTGTCCATGATGCAGCATGAGCAAGAAACACATTTCTGTGTGTAAGCCACGGAATCTGGAGGCTGCTTGTTACTACAGCACAGCCAGTCCCATGCGGACTAACACACCGCACCAGGATCTGAATAGTGAGGACACTGGCATGGCATGGGGAGACTTCCGGGAAGAGGCGCAGGTACAGGTAGAAGGCTCCGAGCTGCGGAGGCCAAGTTTCGTTTGAAGAACTGACTGGAGTGCAGATAACATAGAAGGGAGTGATAAGAGGCTGGAAATCCTTATCACAGAGGGTCCTGTGAGATCATGAACTCCATTTTATGGATTAAAAAATGAAACCCAAAGAAGTTTGGTATCTTACACAAAGTCAAACCCAGTCTGTCCTGTTTCAAAAGTCAATGGTCTTAGTATGACAACATCCTCTGGCCCCTGGGTCTGGAAATAGACATCCCTGGCATATGGTTCCTGACTTTCAAATCAATGTGGCTCTTGCCCAGTATGAATGATCCCAAATTCTGGGTATACATTCCATGAGAAACAGTGGCAAGCAGGTACTCAAAATTTAGAGGTATCCACCTGATTTTTTTTTTCCCCTGACAAGATAAGAAGAAAACTTAAAAATTTTGAGAAAGAATATGCTCTGAAGACAAAGTGGACATCTGTGATATAAATGCATCCTTCTGGAAATCAGCTAATGGAAGGTGGTCTCAAAATAAAAGTGATCCCGATGACAACCATTATTAAACCCGCTAGGTGAGGTGAGCACTTCACTACCTTCTATCCTCACAACAACTCTTTGAACTAGATTCTCGTGCCCCAATTCTGCTGAGAGGAAGTTGAGGCGCTCAGAGGTTGAGTGACTTGCCCGTGGGCTTGATGACAGCTCTGGGATTCAAACCCAGGTCTTTCCGGCCTGTGCTTTTCCACTACTGCGAGCTGCCTCCCCGTAACCCATTTCACATAAATTATGCTCCGCCTCCACCACTCTGCTTCCAGGCAGGAGGCTCTGCAGAGCCAGTAACATGAAGCTCGCGACTGCGAAGGACAAAACCACCATGTCAGGAGTTTAGGGATTTGGATCAGATCTTGTTGCTTTTATGGTTTTTAATTCATTGAACAAAAATCATGCTGACATGTTTAGGTCTCTTTTTTGTTCTGCCAAAGCATATGTCAGTATAAGGAAGGAACAGGAAAATTAAAACTTGATCCACTGATTCAAAAAACTTAATCCTGCTGAAATACTAGGAGGGCAGAAAATAAATGAACCTAAGTCTGTAAGAAACCTCTTAAACTATAACAAGAAGTATTTCAAGCTTATATTTCATATATAATTTTAAATAGGTATCCTACTGTTTAGACAATCTTTAATAAAATAAAAATTTTTATCTAATCAACTTCCTTTTCACTACGTTATTTTATTTATATTTTACATGAAGGAGAAAAAAAAACACACTTAAAAAATATATAAATGGGGACTCAACAAAATCTTAAGAGTAAGAGGCGATCGATAAAAAGAAAACAAAATCTCAATGTATATAATTTGGCCTTAATAAAGTAAACTTTGTATTTATTAATGTGAATGTGATGTTATACACTGTTAACACCAGATAGTTCCCACACATAATAGTATCCAATTATTGACACTGACAAAAATATCAGTTTCAGGATGCAAACACAGAGACAATAATCTAAGGAATGGAGAAGGGAGCATAGTGGGGGGGGCAGGGGGGAGAAGGAAAGGGGTGCTGGCAGGGGAGGGCTGAGTTTGGGGTATTGAGATGAAAGGTATCTGAAATACCAGACCAGAAGCAGCGAGGGTGATGGCAGGGCAGTGGTTGTGAAGTCAGACAGTCCTGTTCCATCCCGGTATCTATCACCCGGAAGCTGACTGTGATGGGCAAGCTACTTCATTCTTTCTGAGCCTCGGTGTCCTCACCGCTAAGGGAAAGATATTAAAAACACCTTAATGTCTCAAGGTGACTGGGAGGAGCAATCACAGCATGTATAAAGTACCAATAAAGACAGCAGCATATAGTAGCCTTGAGTAAATGATAGCGTTTATGAATGTTTTAATCAAACATACTTAATTACTTTCTCATGAAACGAGGGCACATCTGTTTTAGAAAAGAAACATACTAATTATGAAAATATTTTAATGCCTTTCCAAACCAGTGATTAATACACCCGATCATCTCCCTCTCACATCCGTGGGGTTCTGTGCGCACACGCTAGTTTGTATTCCAGGCTCCTGGACTCAGCCGGCTGGTTCTGAGCAGCCGCGCTGTGCCTGGCGTGCGCTGGTTCGTCAAGCACTGGCTGAAGCCCCTGTGTTCTGTGCCAGACCCTGAGCCAGGCTGAGGAGCTCTAGGGAGGAGGAAGGGCTGGGCCAACTTCTCTGGAGGCTCAGTCAGTGGTGGAGACAATTGTTAACCACTACTTAGGAGGATGACAGCTCCTGGGACAGAGGGACGGACCCTCTATGGAGGGAGCATGCACAAAGTACAGCTCACACTGCCTGAGACCTGGAAAATGCCCAGGAGATGCAGAGTAGCCTGTCAGCTGCAGAAGGAAGGAAAGGGCACTTCAGGCAGGAGCATGGAGAGAAAGATAAAGGCAAGAGGGCATGAGACTTAAAAGTCTGCACCAGGGTCAAATTTGCTCTGGAAGCCCAGAGCTTTCAAATTCTTCTTTAGTCACAAAACTCTGGTTTCAAAGAAAACCAAGGCACATAAAACAGATAAAAAGAGAGATATTCCAGTCACTGAGGGAAAGGGCACCAGAGGAGGGGGGGCCTACGACGCTCAACTCCACCCTGACTACCCTGGGACACCACTTACTGGCTGAGTGGCCTTAAACAAGCTATTTAAACTCTGAGGTTTTTTAAAAATATTTTTATTTTTTAGAGAGAGAGAGAGAGAGAGAGAGAGAAACATTGATTGGCTGCCTCCTGCACCCCCTACAGGCGATCGAGGCTACAACCCTGGCATGTGCCCTGATCGGAAATTGAACTGGTGACCTTTTGGTGCATGGGAGATGCCCAACCGAGCCACACCGGCCAGGGCTAAACTCTCGTAAGTTCTCATCGTTTCATCTGGAATTAGCAATTGAAAACAAGGAAACAAAAAACAGCATCTACCTTTTAGAGTTATCGTGAGGATTAGATGAGATAATACATGGAAAGTATATAGTACAAAGCTTGGTAGAGAAGAAACAATCAGAAAATGTAAGCTACCTTTGTTGCAATTGTTGCTTATGTTTTGGCAACCACTGAGGCATAACAAATAATGAAGAGTTTATTCACTAACGTTTTTATCAACAGAGAAAGGGTAGGGCAAACAAGCTATGCTTCAGTAAGATGATTTTTTTGAGAACTCACTAGTAATTTAACAACTCATGTACATTTTTAAATACAAATGCTCCCAGCTCATAGCCCTAAAATTTTCTTTCTTCAGTATTCATTCATTCATTCATTCTACAGTTTCATTCTATAGCTACTTGCAGCACCTGTTACATGCCAGCCACTGTGTCAGATACTAGGGATATAGCATCAAACACACCTGAGTTTACAGTCTGGCAAGAAAGGCAATTATTAAACAAACCATGCACACTTAATCAATACATTACAGTCACAATAAGCACAATAAA